TCAATGTAAAAATTTTTTCAGCATCTGAAGATCATTAAAAAATAATTGAAAATAGCAGATTTCCAGAAGTATCAGGATCCTGACTATTTTACTTACCCTAATTTTGCAACCCTTACGTTGGAAAACAATGAGGCGAGAGAGTAGGAGAAACAGACAGTTAGAGAAATCTGAAACTGGCAGAAAAAAGTACGAATTTCAATAGCAAGACCAAATTTGTACCGCTTAAAATCGTTCGTGTGTTAAAAGTTTGTGCTTTTTTCTGCCAATTTAGAATTTCTCTGACTGTCTGTTTCACTTACTCTCTCGCCTCAGTGTTCTCCAGCTTAGGAGTTTAAGAACTAGGTGAAGTGGAATATCTAGAATTCTGGTGTTTCTGAAAGTGTATATTATCTTTACGCACCCGACAGTACCCTCGTAATAATAAAGAAATTTCTATATCGTTATGCGCTGTACGAATAGGAAAAGATGAAAAAACCAAAAAAAATTTGGAAGTGATTTTAACGTTTACTGCACCATGTTCTTTTTTAACAGGGAACCTGTTTGAAGGCTTTTTAGTTTAAATTTTGTTATAAAGTTAAGGGTTGGATTGTTTACTAAACTTATCGCCTTTGGAAGTATATTTTGCTGTGTTTCCGCGTCTACTGTTCTAGAAATCGAGCGGACAAAAAATTAGGAGTCTCGTAGGTAGCAGAAAATGTTTTGCAGAACCCTTGATATTTGAGATTTTACCCTTTTTGGCAGCCCCAATGAACATCGCAGACTGTGAAGAAGGTGTTGGTGAAAATCAGGAAAATTTTTTGACTGATAGCGAGAGTTGCGGTGGGACGGGGTTATAATGCTGTCTGCTTTTTTGAAGTTTCTTATCACATTTCGTTTACTTCTTTTTGACACCTTTTAAATTCTAACTTATGGTACGGTGTTTGCTTGTTCAGTTGCCCTTTTTTTATATTTTAACTAGTCGTTTGACTGCGAGATGTGATCTTAGCATCCTTGTATTTGTTAGTACGCCATTTCTTACGAAGCTGCATTATTCAAAAATTGTACAGTGCTTTTCTACCACAAATGCAAAACTGCAGTAAGCTGCTAAACGTTGGAGTAATGTAAAGCCGGTAATGAAAATTTCTAACTATTGCCTGTTGGACGTTTCCATTGCCACGCTGAATTTTTTAAGCTCGACGAAACCTGCTGAAAGTCAGTAGTGCGAGTTGAAAAAAGGTAGTCATGTTTTTTAAAATTTGTCAATAACAGATTGTTACTGCAAACGTTCACTTCAACTGTAGTTTTTTTTCATAAAGTTGGAATTCCTAAACAGTGTACAACTTTTGGATGTAGTGGCACAGTAAGGTATCTTTACTGCTATGATTTGTATATTTATGTGTGCTAATTCAGAACCTAAAAGAAAAGGTTGTCTTTTTATCAGAGCGGTATTTTACTGATATTTTCCTGACCTCTCTTTACCAAATGTTCAGTCTTTTACTGTTTATTTAATGTTTTTTGTTCAGTGTGTTTTTAATTTGTGACTGTAATGTCGGATATCAAAGAATTCAGTCGTTTCATTCAAACAAAAGCCTGGCAATTTCGGTGTACGATACGGGTACTTGGAGGTTTCTGTGGTAGAAAAGGAATTAGGAAGGGATTGTTCATTGAAAAAATTGTGCGGAATGCAAGCAGAATAGAAAATTAGTATTGGAAAATTTAAACGTTAGGCGGCCCACAACACATATATAAGCATGAGACTTAACAGGATATGTCTCACCCTTTTTTTATCGCTGCAGGCGCACACCTCACCTGAGAAGTTGGTTTTTCTGGTAGATTCAGTGACTGTGTTTTTATTTAGTCACTTTCATCTGTGCGTAAAATACTTGAAACAGTTGTGTTTTTGAATACTTAGAATTCAAATCACGGAAAGTTTTGTAATTACAACTAATTTGGGTACAAAAAAAAACAGGTTTTCAAAAAACGCCGTCAAAGAATCGCATTTACTGAACTGTTTTGCAAGAGGTGCTTCAATGTCATTACTGCACGATGAGCTGCTGAGAACGTATTCAAAAAAGTTTTTATATTACAGATTACACGTCGGTAAGTATAAAAAAAGTTACTGAAAGCTTGCTGAGACAGCTCCTGCCATTATCTACCACTAGTTTCATAAAATGTGGAAGTGATAGCAGATAGGTTTCTTCTTTTAATTTTTAACATATTTGCTTCCATTACGTTTGTTGCCATTAAACTGACTGTATTTCTGTTTTATACTAAAATCTTCATTCTGCTAAGTTCCATCCAGTTAATACCCCTTGCGAGTGCTTTCAAATACTGTTTCTTAATTCAGTTGTTGAAAGTCAGTAAAAAGAAAAAACTTACATATCCTAAAAATTCTAAAAATTGTAACTGATCGTTAACGGAGACGTCTTTTTGAATTCAGATGGACACCTCAGACCAATACATAGCATTCACCGAACTCGTGAAGCAAAAATCATTCAATGTCGACACACCAACTTTTTGGTATTCGCCTACGGAACGTAAAGATGTTTTGCACGAGGAACACAGATATCCTATCGTTCAGCAAAAGTATATGTAGCTGATTAAATGTCGGTTACTTATTTTTTCAAGATTAACCACGAGTGAATCAAGATAGTATAGAAAAAATAGGTTCTTTCTTGAGAATAGAATTAGGAGAATTATACCCCAACTGATGCTTGCAACCAGCGTGCAGTAGCTAACCGCTTTATTGAACTGAACATGAAGAAACAAAACCAAAAAAGCTACAACAACAATCGACGCCATGATGCCAATCTACAAAATCCGGTTTCGATAAATAAAGACAAAGATATTACATTGTAAAGAATGCATGCTAGCTTAACATTATCAAGGAAAGCTATGTATATACAAGCGTTGTTTGTAAACAATTTTTAACATGGAGATAAAAAAATTAGATAGTTTTGTATCGTTTTCTATCTCGCTGCTGCGATAGATAGTAAAAAACAATAAGACACTATACGGCGTTATTGTCTTTTCCTGATTCCTTGTTTTCTGTTCTTCTTCACAGTGCGTTTTATGGTAAGCGGGAAAAATGGATGCCCAT